GGATGGGGAGCAATCTGCCGAGTGGTGTGGCGTGCGGCGCTGGTATCGCACAGAGCAGGCCACGGGTTCGAATAGCAAACACGCAAGCTTTGCACTGGTTACAATAAACGTAAAGCCGTAGACCCTCAGACCCGGCAACCGAGGCAGGGTTTGACGCAAACGCATCGCTTTGGTAACTTGTCAGACTAAGGCAGATTATTAAGTCTTATTCGAAGTGGAAATCCCACGTGCTTATTGTCATGCTACTGGTTTGTGTTACACCGCAGGTAAAATTTATTTTTTATGATGATTACATCCTTAAAGCGTTAGTTTTTCTTCCTGCTTTAGCCTGATAGAATCTGCTCTGTTTACGGGGTCCCTGCACAACAGAATCAACGCTTCGCTACCTTTTTCACATATTTACTCCCCGAGCAATCAAAAGAAATTGACTTCGTCGAAAATGGCCCTCAAAAAGCATGCAGCGAATGCAACAGATCTTCCATTTATCCGATTGATAACTGGAAAATCTGCTGAGGTCGGCAGTCTTGGTGTTCAGTGCGACACACCTCGTCGATCCTCTTCCAAACACAATTACATCCCGTTTCTTTCTGTGTAGCATAGAGGGGTTCGTGGAATTGCTCCATCACTTTTTCGCTCCCGGAATGATGTCTGTGGAGATCCAGACAGAGTCGTGCTGCATCAGCCTCGCATTTCATAGATGACTGTCTTTTCGATTTCTGCAGAAAATGGAAACGCAACACGACGGTGAAAATGCCTTTGGCTGCAGGTTTGCTCTTGCCAGTTAAGGCTGTGCGTTCTGAACCGCTGAAAATTGTGGTGAATTAGGAGTACATGTGATCATTAATGTGCAGAGATAATGAACGTCTGATTTAAAGCGAAGCATGCATTTCCGAAAACAAAGACGAGATGTATCTCTCCGAGTGACACTCATGCTCATTTGCTACCCCAGAAATTAAGTGACACCCTTGAAAGTGGATGTACCGGATCCCAGCACGGTGCACTGTGACGGACACCAGCACAGTACACACATGCCCTCGTCCTTACGCCTACGCCGGTTCACACTGTGCTCTGAGTGTTCACATGAGGGTGAAGGTGGCGTGTACATTGTTGATGTAACAGCAGCAAAGAAAGCTGTGATTGCTTTGCAATATATATATATATATATATATATATATATATATATCGATCTCTATCTACCTCTCTTCATCTCTCCCTCTCTCTAACCATCTGTTGTCGCACCAGATTGAACGATTCTTTAGAAGCGGCCTTCGCAGACAGCCATGACCTGATGGTGAACTGGCATGGGTCAGCGACCTTACAAGGTGCATCCGATGTTTTTTATGCCAAGAGATCCGCTATTCAACTGCCTACAACCATGCAAAATTTAGTGCGTCTGCGTCACGCCTTTCGGAAACCATTCTGGAGAAACGTTCATGGGGTCAAATTGCCACCCTGCGAGTGTGTGCTTAACAAACATATCAAGGAATTATTTATATGTATTATTAGAGTACTGAACGTTCCTGGCACCTTTCATGCTCAGAATTATATTGGCATACATCCTTGCATATTGCAGGTCAGATATTTTTAGTCTTCAATTCATACTGCCCACAGCATGTGGCTCAGTTTCGGAAAAGACTGATGGGCGCCATTCTAGCAATAACCGTTCATAAAGTGAAGCGTTGCATGCGGTGCGTAGGCCAGCATATGTCAGTTATAGTTTGAAAGCGAGACGGCAGTGAGGAGAATTTATGATCCATTTTCCACGCACACCAGCTCTCAGAACAAGAACATAAAGTGCAGGTATTATTCATATGAGTCCGTATTTGAGCTGCATCATTGATGATTCCAGTCATGAAGATGAAGCCCAGTCATCAAATCCAGTCATCTTGATGAAGCCATTTTGATTCAGAATTACCTTAGTTGTCAAGCAAATTTTCGAGGAACATGACATACCACAGCACAGATATAAGGCAGCACTGGTGGCATTATTCACCGTAGAATGACCAGAAGAAAGGAGAGATATATGCACTGCTATTCCAGCCACATGCTTTTACCGAAACTAAGATGACGGTAAGTTTAGAATTCCGAATTGCCAATCAAAAATCAATTTAAATGAGATGCAAGTCAAATTGGCAACTTTGAAGTTTGAATGCACTGTTCATATTCGCTTTAATAAAGGCATGCAGCGGAAATACCAATAGACCTACATTTACTTATTCCTGGTTATTCTATGAGGAATAAGGCTAACACTTCAGTCCTAACCAAATTGGCTCAGCGAAATTTGGCTTATTCTGCACGTGTCTCCGATTCCAGCTGGAGCCAAACTCAGGTCCATCTCAACTGAAGCTAAAATATCTCTGGCTGTGGCCGCTGGACTTGAATAAAATAGCTGGACTTCCACGATAACCAAAGCGCGTGAACAGGAAGCCAATAGCTCACCTATTCTTCGAGTTTCAATCTTGTGAACACTGATGCCTCCATGCAGGGTATGGACTGATTGTAAGAGGTGCCTCTCAAGTGTAAATAAAAGTGCCCGAAATTGACAGCTAAAAATGTCTTGCGCGTGCACATAGGCCCACTCTTCCCTCCTGCTTAGTCCAGGGGTACGCGTATGGGCCCGCAGCCACAATCTCTAGGATCTCCAGCCACGAAGCCACAGCCCTCTCAGAATCCCCAGCCACGCAGCCCCCGCCCCCCCCCCCCCCCTCCCCACGATCTCCAGCCGCGAACAAGCCGGTTCATCATGCCGTTCGTTTGCAGGTGGTTCCCAGTCGGATGCGGGAGATGACAGCGAAACTCCACAGAAACCGGTGAGTTGTGAAGCCACGTAAGTTGCATCTGATGTCTTACAAATCATGCGGTAATGACGCGGTGCCAGCCCGATAAACTGATAATAATGAATTGATTAATGAATTAGATAGATTTATCACAGTAAGTAATCTACTCAATCACTCATACTTTATTTTACAACAGAAATCGCCGTAGCATAAAAATACGACAAAACCCGACTGACTCTCAATGCAACAAGGAAGATGTGTGGGAGATTGTACAACGCGAAGCTTAGCCTGGCGCTCTAATCTCTATGAGGCTTTCTGAAGCTTCCCCGGCATTAAAATTCATTATTTTGAGCCACACGAGCCTGGGTATATTGATGTTCAGGGTTGAAGTGATGGCTGGGTGAGTGGCGTTTTGATGGCTGGCGTGAGTGGCCTTTCACTGATCACCTATCACCTACTTCATTTACTTTGATTTGTGTATCTGATATCAATAATGAAGTTGAAAGATATGTTTGGTCATTTCCATAGTAGTTTTTTTAAAATTGAATACGTCGCCTTTGAAGCCGATGTGGCGGTGGTAATGATATTTGATGAAAATGACGTTGATAGCAATGCATTAAGCTACCGAGTGTTCCAGCGGCTCAGACACGTGTCGCCCTCATTTCATATGCATGGGGGTGGGGTCGGAAGAGTATTAAGGAGACTCAAGTCGGCATTAGGGGGGGGAGGGGGGAGAGTTAGGCCACCCTCCCGAGAGTAAACAGTGACACCGCTGGTTACTTGGCGTGAACATGAATAAACTACCACACCTGTGCTCAACAGCAGGCGACGGGCTGTGCCCATAGCTATCTGCTTACTGTTGAGCTAATAGGTAGCCTGATGTTTGCAGGTAACTTTGTGCTATTTGTGTTACACGAGCGTTATACCGCCTGCATGTTTTCCATTCCAATAAAGTTCAGCCATCTGCCAGTTCTCTTGTGGACATTATGAACGTTAGCAGGTGTTCGAACGGATCGTGCTCCTACGACGCTGTTGTTGCAGAAGGACAAACCGTTGCTCCAGCTCGTGATGAACCCTCACGGTCACGTTTACGACCTGAACGCCCTGAAGAAGCAGGGCTGGATCATCGACAGCAAGGTGAGATGCCCGTCATGCGTGGGCTCAGGATGCTTGGGTTTGAATCCCATACAATGCACACATTTTCGACATCGGCGGGAAAGGCAACAGTGTGGATAGTAATTACAGCAGCTTGTTTCAGTTCACTTTTTTTTCTTCAGCAGAAGCCGTCTGAAGCATATCGTCTTGCGTGGTAACAGCAAAAGAGGTCGTTACGCAGTGCTTACGGAAACGAAAGTATTGTATTATCTTTAACGATATATTAAATTAAGGCAGCACCGATCAATGCTCGCCTTACACAGTCCGAAACATTTTGGTGTGCAGCGTTTGGCATTGACTGATCTTCTGACTGGCTTGACTGATCTCACCTGAGATCTCTGCCCAGTCTGGCTATACCCGTCCAACGCTTCATTTTCCACCGTTTTTTTTTTTTTTACCATGGCACTGACATTTTCATCGAACCGTAAATGGTTCACAAGACTTACCATTGTTGACCAGTTCGGTTTGTTCAGGTTTACCGGTTCTCGTGGGGCGTTTCTTTGGTGATCGCTGTGTGTGAGTGTGTTAGTTGTTTGTATGATTGTGTATATCGTGTATGTGTGATTGCGTGTAGCGTGTGCGTGTGTGTGTTGAGCTCCATAGCTTTGTGTACGTCGTGTATTTATTATTTCTAAAAACCTGAACTGCTTCCGCGACTGGGGTTTGCCTGTAGACCGCATACGCGCTTAACAAACAATAAGTAATAAACCAGATAAACCGTTAAAGACAACAATAAACTCTGCAGACGTGCACATGACGCTAAACGGATCGGGTACACCGAAAACTACCAGAAGTTGCTACAGGCTAGATTCGTAGAAAGTTGTGACTCACTTTCCTGTTTCATTAGGCATCTTCCCTTTTGACTTCCCTCTCTCTTTTCCCTTTTTGCATTTCCGTTATGGCAGCGTTCTATTTCACATCACTGCGAAAACAAAGCGCAAAGACGGCATGGGTGCCAGTATTCCCAGTTCAGTGCAGCTGACTGACTGCTTTTTGGAGCCAAAGTGATATCCTAGTTCCACATGACTAGATTCGGGATTTTTTTCAGGCAGTTTCAATCCTGGCAACCCTTACCTGTTGTGCCCTGCTATTTAAGAAGAGTTTCTGGGGTTTTATATAAAGGCTAAACCACGGCCTGAGACAAATACGTTATACCGCTGGAGTCATGTTGCATGAAACATTTATTTGAATACAGCTCCATGCAATCATGGTATTGTTTTAAAGTTGGACTATTAACGAGGCCCGCCGGGCAAATCACCTATCTCTCTCCTGAAAACTTTCTTTGAATTTGAAACAAACATTTAATCATGTCATACGGACATGAAAAGGCATGCACATACTTGAGACCAAATGTTCATGCTTGTTTTCTTTCGGCATTGCTAGCAGCTGCTGAATTTGTCATGCTGCTTTTTCATGACCTCGTGCAATGATTGCACTGCAGAGCAGGTCTGTTACCACCATGGGTCACTTCTAATTTATGAAGTGGCAAAAAACTGCACCTTCTGTCGCATCGGAAAAATGCGCGCTCCCTTTAAGCTCATGTTAGCGCTGGCACCGCGCTGGCACTGCTGGATTATGACGTCACTGCAGTGATATAGAGCGACTGCTGCTAGAGAGGCAGCCGTCTGGACGCACCCCATCGCTGAAGCGTAAGACTTATATCCGCCCAATGGGAGTAGCCCAGCTCGTTTATCACGACAGCTCTTGTAGCAGAAGCCATTTCACGAGCTTTAAAAATAGAGAGGAAACCCTGTGGTCATTAACGCACCAGAACTACTTTGGTTTCCTGCGAAACTGAGTCAGGCGAGCGACGTGTTTGATTTATCATTTAGACAAGGAATTGGTTGATTTATCAAGGGTCGATTGGTATGAAAATAGAACGACGAAATGTGCAACGAAGCATGATATTATGTCCCGTGTCCCTTCCAGCCCCAGACATTCATAAATTACATATGTAAATAGCCAATTAAGGTGAATAGCGGCCCATAACTCAGCGGGGCCGTCTCGATGCTTTACGTTTATTCAACGCAATGGCCGATCTGAATCACTGACTTACGCCCCACGGCGGGTCAGGGATAAGTCTCATATTGGTGGCACGATGAGTCTGCTTAACAGCGTGAAAAATGGCATTGCGTGCAGCTTTCAGTTCAATGCCTGCGTCCAGCTTTTAGCTCCACTCTTGGGTTTTTAGCAGCCGAATCTTTCAGGACTAGCTTTTGCGGAGCCTGAGCTGCAGATGACTGCAGCCCGGTTCTTCTTATTGACACGCGCTTGGAAGGCGAGGGAGGTGGAACCTGCTCGGCCCACGTGTTTGTATAGATTGCGTACAAACCCAGAACCCTCGACGAACAGTTTTGGTAGTAAGCAGTTATTTCAGATCGATATGTCAGTTAAACTTAGTTAAACAAGGTTAGCAAAGGTCAATTAAGTTAAAGTTGAAGGTTAGTAAAAGTCAGCATGCTACTGTTTTCTTCGCAGTCTGGCAAATTTGTGAGTGCTCAGCTTGCTTGATCCTAAACTATTTGACCTATTGACCTAACAGAACAAGAATAGCAGGGGTGGGGCGGGTTTTGTACGTATTCAGGACATGACGTTCTGACTGATCCTCCAGGAGGCGCAATAAGTATCTTAAGCCTTGCTTGTTGTCTTTGTATTTGGCACGTGCTTCAGCAGCTCCGGCTAAAAAGAAATGAAAAAAGGCACAGCATAAATGTGCGGTGTGAAAGTAACTTCTCTGCTCTGGTAACGGCATCAGGTCCCAGCTTCATGCCCAAAAGACCGCAAAATATTGATGAACCTACGTGGATTTTGATTGTAGGCAATTTTCCCAATTTCCCACGTCCTCTGATCACAATTATTTGATTGGAAACTGAGAGAAGTAAATTTGGAAAACAATATGGATGAAAGTTAATTTGGAGGTAGCGAGTGTACAACCGCGAAGCGCGGCTACAACACCAACCCGACCCATCTCCGCGCGGACCCGGTCCCATCCCCGACCTGTCTCCGCGCGGACCAGATCCCGCCCGCGCCGACTCGTCTTGGTGCGGATCCGGTCTCCCGCCCCGACCCATCTCCGCGCGGACCCGGTCCGTCCCCGACCCATCTCCGCGCGGACCCGGTCCGTCCCCGACCCATCTCTGTGCGAGCCCGGTCACGAACAAACGCCAGCCTGTCCCGTGCGCTTCTGTGCCCGACACAACACACACACACACACACACACACACACACACACACCACACCACACACACACACACACACACCCACACACACACACACACACACACACACACACACACACACACACACACACACACTCGTCAGCTCAGCTAGCTGGCAGGTGGTGAGACGCAAAACCGAATCATCATTATTATCATCGGCTGGAGTCTCCGGCCCGCCCGAGGTGCGCACATTGCGCGGCAGACACTCGCTGACTTGATACAATGTTTTGAATTTTGTGATGGCACATTATACTAGTACGCGAGACAAAATTTGCGACGATAATCGCCTCAGGTGACGGGATGCGCGGTCACATTGGCTGCGGCCAAAGATATCTTGGATGCATGGTTTTTGCTTTTTCGGATTACCTATTTCCTTTTTGGTGGGCTCAGGGAAGGCTCTACTGCGGACTGTTCCCCGTCCACGAATGCAGTAGCGGATATGCGAGACAACAAAGAGATTGATTGGCGCGGAGATGACAGAGGATGACAGATGGTTCGGGACATGTAATGGAACACTATGGGTTCAGTAGCAGCGTTACATAGTGGTGATTACTTGGAAATCTCAGGAGAGAGAGAGAGAGAGAGAGAGAGAGAGAGAGAGAGAGAGAGAGAGAAGAGAGAGAGAGAGAGAGAGAGAGAGAGAGAGAGAGAAGGAAGAGAGAGAGAGAGAGAGAGAGAGAAGAGAGAAGAGAGAGAGATAGAGAGAGAGAGAGAAAGAATAGAGATAAAGGAGAAGATATAGATAGAGAGACAGAGGATGATGAGATCGAGAAGAAGAGCTAGCTGAGAAAGAAGCAGAGATAGAGAGAAAGCAGGAGAGATATATTTGCTTTTCTCGTCGCCGAGGTTGATGATCCTCGACATTTTCCCGAAACTTATTAACACAAGTGTACGGATGTGCTCTGGTTTTGAGCCGTTCTCAGCAACGTCAGTTGATTCTTCTCCTCCGCATTCACTTTCAGCTCGCTCGCTCGAAACCAAATAACGAAGGAGAAACAAGGCCAGGTTCCACCGTAACAACGACGTGTTAGAATTTAGATTGCTTGCCACTGACCTCATTGAACGATTACTGTGCGCTCAGCGAACAAGCTAAGGCCGTCGGCGAGGATGCAGTAGGGTAGAGTTCGAGAGGAGAGTCCGGCAAGACTCGGATGTTTCCGGAGAGTCACTCAGATATTCAAGTTTCTCAAAGCGTTAGTGAACTTAGCGTTAGTGAACGCTCTGGGTATGGTCACAGAGGTACGCACAAACCCAGGGAATATTTATCCTGTTCAGTTTCAATTTAGTCACGAGATTATCGACGTCGATCGCATCATGGGTCAATCGTCTTGCACTGGTGACCTTGCACTGGTGACCTCGTTTTCTGCATGGTCGCTCGCGATAGCCATGTTGATGACCGGCCGGCCGCCAAAAAACGCTGCCTTTGTGTGACTTTTTGTGACCTTTCTTAGCTTATGTGACCTTGTGTGGCCCTGTTTGACCTAGCGTTACCTTCCAGGGCGGCCTGTCTCCGGACGTGTGCTCCGACCTGGTCAAGGACCTCAACTCACCCAACGGCAAGGGTAGGTCTCTCATCTCGTCGATGTTGAGAGGAGCGAGTGGAGCGCGAAAGTGATAATCAAACGGTCGTCATGTGGGAGACAAGGCCGGCCACAATTTTTTGAACGTACGGTATCATGCTTCTTGCGCAAGGCATTGCGGCTTGTCGTTTACGAACGTATGTTGTACGCATCGTTGTACGACCCACTGCAAAAATCACGGTCACATAAGCGTACGACACGTAGGCAATGTACAGGCACGTACGTAACTATGCAACTATGCAGTGTGGCTAGCACATAATATTGGAAACGACTAGGTCGGTGTAACTGCATGATTCTCACGCAGGAGTTCGACGCAGACTTCAAAGTCACTAGTTGTGCTCAAAATCGAACTAGAAACTTAGTTTATATATGCTCATTACATGTCTACCTACGGCACGGACGAATGTGAAGTAGTTGTTTGGGCTGCTTATGATATACTTGTTTTTGAAGGAGTCCGCAATAATTTTTGTTTTTAAAACTTACCGATAAACATTTTCTATGGCTGCGGTGCTCCATTTCACCTGCGCTACTTTATCATCTCCGGTATCAGGAGTGTCACTTCTTAAAATCGGTTAGGGGGGGCCAGTCGAAAAGATTGACCTGACCTACACCCAAAACCTGATTTCTCCCAGGATTTCGTTAACTTGAATTTCCGTCGCTGATGTTAGAATGAAAAAGTTGGTTTAAAATTTTGCAGATTCAGAGTTGTTTCCTGTAAGGAAGACTTACCATTTAAGGTTATTGTGAGAAGCCTTTTCGTGAAAAGCTTGAAATGGGATGTCTCAAAGAAAGTTATCTGAATATATATCAGTAAAGGACCACTTATGGCTATTGCCATCACTGATCGTGTTGTATTACCACAACAACCACGACTATACGACAAATACACTTGCCACTGGTAGCGAAAACATGCGTCAACTTTTGCACCCTGTAACACTTAAAGCTGCCACATATTGCAGTCAATTGTTCTATATCCAAATCTAGGCGTTATCACTTTATAAACGTGTCCAACATTTACAAACTGGCTTGAGCCTATAAAAGATTTACCATAACACTAGCATTAGATAATTACAAGATGCTATTTGGTGCACAATAAACATGATGCTAGTGGTGATATTTTTTTACGTACCTACTGGCTACTACCCACTATTCCAACAGTTAGTATAAGTGTCCTGCATTTATTTGACTCACCATCCCCTCCTCTTTGCTCATATGCATTGAAGGGCTTATGTCGGCACTGTGAGCTCAGGCCCCCTCAAAAATGTATCAGCTGGCACCACTGGTCGGTATACTTACATGCTATAAAGGTGAGCTTATGTCGGCACTGTGGGCTCAGGCCCCCTCAAAAATGTATCAGCTGGCACCACTGGTCGGTATACTTACATGTTATAAAGGTGAGCTTATGTCGGTACTGTGGGCTCGGGCCCCCTCAAAAATGTATCAGCTGGCACCACTGGCCGGTGTACTTACATGTTATAAAGGTGAGCTTATGTCGGCACTGTGGGCTCAGGCCCCCTCAAAAATGTATCAGCTGGCACCACTGGCCGGTGTACTTACATGTTATAAAGTGAAATAGCAGCATAGAGTCGTGCCGGAGGATGCAATGTGAGCTCGGCAGTGGAACTGAAAAATGATGGTAAAAAGTATTACCCGATGAGCGTTCGGAAAATAATCGCATAGATTCGCGACTGCTCCGGCATACCAGTCGGGAAAAGCCTGAAGGAAACTAATCAAAGCAAAAAATTATTCGTGACAACGAACGCCACCACATTCATCGTCAGATGTGGAACCCAAGTTGTACCCGGATATCAAAGAAATATGTATTCGGCAAAAACATCACGGGCGTAAGCTTACAGTGAAGATGCATGCCCGCATGTAAGCTCTTGTGAGTACCACCGCTTTGATAATGCAGGTGCACTGACGCGCGGCGCCGGTCGCAACGCCCTTCAGTCCATTTTGACTTACGCTTCCAGGAAATGTGCTACTAAAGTACTGCAGATTGGTTTTCCGAAAATCCCGTACAGTGCAGCGATTTAAGACTGGAAGTTTTCCCCAGCACCGCCTTTGCGTCAGAATGCACTTAGTTCAGCCCATTCACTGATAAAATCGAAGCTGTCAAGCTTGCATCAGCGAGCCGACGTGGCGGGCATCGCTTGTTTTCCTTTCTGTCGTCGGCGGGAGCTCTTCGGGATAAACACGCAGTTGTTTCATCCAGCTTCTAACTGTCAGTAAGAGGGAGCTGTCCGAAACACCATTCCTACCGCAAGACGACACGGGAACCTTGAGATTACTTGATATCAACCTGAATGTGCCAAGTATACTTGATGTGCAATGCGATGACGAGCAAGTTGAGTGGAGGCGTGCGTGTGCATTCGAAATTGCCGGAAACCCTGCTTATCTTGCCAAACACGTTTAAAGGAAGTGTTCCACATCGATGTGGTGCTTTGAGCCGAAACAGTCATTTTAAGCATAACTCTGTGCATTTCACAGCCTTGCCCTTCTTAAAACGTAGAAGCCTCCAGTTTCTGAGCTACACGTCCGCAGATGTGCAGACTTTTTCGCGCACACTCATCTATATAATTTGTGGCTGCGTAATCTATGCATTGTCTATAATTATGTAATATATCTATCTATCTATCTATCTATCTATCTATCTATCTATCTATCTATCTATCTATCTATCTATCTATCTATCTATCTATCTATCTATATATATATATATGTAAATAATCTAATACTACCTGATCTATATCTAATATACGATTGCCCAATCTATATTCAACCTAGTATCTAATCTATGTACAATATATAATATTCTATAATCACATAATGGCTCGATTTCTCCCCATTAAACGAGAGATATGGATTCCTAACAAGTTTCCTGATTGGATTCTACCAGACCCCTTTTAAATAACGACTCGGCGATCACCAAATCATCCCTCTCTCCGCCGCTAGGTGCGCAGATCTTCGCCAAGAGGAAGAAGCGGGCGGAGAAGTGGGTAGTGGATGAGACGCACCGGGAGACCCGCAGGGCTGAGGAGTCGCCGGCCCCGCCTGCTGCGCCACAACCGCCACCCGCCGCGCCGCAACCGCCGGCTGCCGCGCCACAACCGCCGCAGCCGCCGCAGCAGTTGTGAGTGCCGCCACGAGGCGCGGGGGAACAGTGCCGCGTGGTGGATGTCGCCGCTCGCAATGCATTAAAAACGGCGGCTCTGGTTTCAGAGCGGGCCCGTCCCAAAAGTTCCGAGCACTGAATTGGTGTTATTGGATCCGCGGTTCAGAGTCCTACGCCGGGATGCGGTTTGGAATTAGATCTTGCTGGTGAAATGTGTCGGCGATCTGAAAGGGCACCGCTATTGCAGAGGTCAGCTGGTTTATTGAAAATGAGCGCATCGTGTATCAATGTGGAGGAGGCACTGCGTCGCTACACGGCAAGTGTGGTGCTCCTCTTCGGTCGATACTTAAGCGCATTACTTGTTGTAATTGGGCCCAATGGGAGTCGGTTGCACTACAGGTGTACACCAGTGTTTCGCCGTACTTAAGCCACAAAGCTACGACGAAGTGAACTGAGGAGACAAGAGGAGAATTAAATTATCCAAGGTTTCTTGGCACTGATCACCCGGTGAGATTGCTGTGCTTGGGTTTGCCTCTCGTGTTTTTTTTCTCGTGAAGATTTGCTGGTACGACTGACATTGACAAGCGGATCAGTGCTGCCAGGCGTGACTGCTTCGACCCGCGCCCCCTGGATCCCTTGTGTCATCCATTAAGCTCGGCAATATTGTGTCGTCCACTGGGCCGCCGCGCTGCCTGTCCTGACTGGCATCACACGTGACGTGGAAAGCCGATCGGACCCGCTGCTCCCGTTCCCTGGGGGTAAACGTCTGTCCGTTTCGTCGGGCACAAGGGAGACGTATGGAGCGTGGCATTAGCAGGACAGCTGGCTAGGTATATGGTGGCCTTGATGCGCGACGAATTTTCCGCGCATCGAGGCGGCTAAACCGGCGAGATTGTTCTTTAAGTGCGCCATAAAGTTGCGTGTAATGTGTAACTTACGGCCAAAGTGGGGAATTTTTTTTGCACCGTAGGTACCGAACCTCTTTAAATAATTCCCATGGATAACTCGCCAGTGACCGATTTCGGTGTGAATATGCTGGAGCTTGCAGTTTTCCTCATCGCACCGCCATGTGTCAACTGGCAGAGGGGCGGAACGAGGAAAGATGTTCCCTCAGAGTCCCCCCCCCCCCTACCAACTGTGTTCGATGTGCAGACTTAGTCAGGAAAACTGTAGCTGACGCTGTACCCCATCTTGTTTGATGAAAACCGTCACCTCGGAGACAGTCTAGATTCTTCATTGCTAGTTCTCGGGATATCGGATGGTTTTTCCATCCTACGCTTCAGATTCTTCCGCTACCTAACTCTCCCATTGACAATATGCGGTTATAGCTCAAATTCTTTTACCAGAAAGGGTACATTTATTGCGCTAGGAACGCTATGTTGTTCATAACTTACGACCAGAAAGGCTGTGCTATGTGAGCTATGATTTCTGTTCGTAATGATGGCTGGAGGCGACTATCATAATATAAAAACCGTGCCCAATTGCTTTGTCATATTTGACCGGACCTCGTTATCTAAGACTACGCGTGTGACATAGGAATTAGTCCTTAGCACTACCTTTTATTTATGTGAATATTGTCACCTTCTTAATATGGTAGTAAGCTTGGCAGTTTTGCAGTCATAATATTTGATTAGTGTCACCTTATTTTCCGTGGCAGATTCTGTTTACATATGTTGCACGGTAATGGCTAATGATTTTATATTGCTGGGGAAATCCCGCCTGGTCTTCTCGACAAAAACGGTCTCAGTGCGCCAAAAAATCACGTCTGCATTCGCCTTTCTCCGACCTTCTGTAATACAATACCTGGTCGTTAACAGGCCGCTTGTGCCGCTCCTTTGACCTGCTGTTCCCTTGCAGCTCAACGGACCTTTCACACAGCGTGACCCATGACCTGTGACCTTCTGCAAAGCACAGCCAGGCGTGTGACCTCCCAGCCCGTGTATCAAAAGTACTGTGTTCAGAACAGACACACCTCGCGGAACATCACACAGCCTGCGAAAATTGCACCTGACCTGCTGTGTCCTTGTACGTCGCCAGACCGACGGTGCACACACCTGACCTGCTGTGTCCTTGTACGTCGCCAGACCGACGGTGCACACACCTGACCTGCTGTGTCTTGTACGTCGCCAGACCGACGGTGCACACACCTGACCTGCTGTGTCCTTGTACGTCGCCAGACCGACGGTGCACACACCTGACCTGCTGTGTCCTTGTACGTCGCCAGACCGACGGTGCACACACCTGACCTGCTGTATCCTTGTACGTCGCCAGACCGACGGTGCACACACCTGACCTGCTGTGTCCTTGTACGTCGCCAGACCGACGGTGCACACACCTGACCTGCTGTGTCTTGTACGTCGCCAGACCGACGGTGCACACACCTGACCTGCTGTGTCCTTGTACGTCGCCAGACCGACGGTGCACACACCTGACCTGCTGTGTCCTTGTACGTCGCCAGACCGACGGTGCAGCTGAAGCCGGTGCCTCTGCAGTCGCTGTACCAGGCTCCGCAGCAGCCTCAGTTCCCCAGTGGAGGCGTGTACGCCCCCCGGACGGCCCACAGCTGGGCGGCAGCTCAAAATGCCGGTCAGTGGGGTCAAGGTCGCGGCTGGGCCAGGTCACGCCAGCCTCTGCCATATTGGTTAACGATGAGATGGCCTTGCAGTGCTCTGGTGAGTCAGTTCGGAAGGTCAGATGATGCTCAAGATCGAGCCAAGAAAGGTCGGGTCAGGGTGAGGTCAGAGAAAGGCTCCATATTCGGCAGTTAAGTCACAGCTTAGAGTCTCGGTTGGACCGCTCAGGGTGAAGCACAGTTGGTATGCGCGAACATTCGTCCTTAAGCGGTGGAAAATCTCAGACTACGGCGGCGTCAGGAAATGGAAGATATTAAGGATTCAGCGCCCGTCGGGAATCCTGAACTAGTGCGACTTGAAATGGAAAATAGAGGTAGGGATAAAATCTGTTTGAATAAGTCAGAGGTTAGCCAAGTTCCAGCGGTAGGATTTAGCCTCTGTAACATGTGTTGGAGATGTTAGAAATTGACCATCGTGGCAGGAATCCCGAAGAAAGTTGCCCGTGTTGGAGGAGGCTAATCGCTCCTTAGCGAATGCTTTCATGTCTACTTTTGGGGCTGCTTAATAGTTCAGAAGAAGATTCATTTCGTCCTGAATGACAAAGTGTTTTTTTCACGCCAGTCTCTCGTGGCTGGTGATTTGAAATGATTTTTTTCTGTGTTTTTCATCAGGGCAGTCCAGTCCCTGAATTAATTTACAATTAGAGCTTTGGTTCAAACCTTCAAAAATGCACACTTGAACTGATCATGCAGGAGAGATAAAGCTACGAAGCGTTGCAACAGACAAGCTGGCATGCTGGACGGAGGATTGATGGCGTGATTGCACGGCTTTTAACAACGGATGGCTTGGAGCTCATAACATACGCATATTTCAAACACGTTTGTACTGTGCGTGACACGTTGTTTTTGTGAATCTGTGCTTCTCATGGAACGCCGGGGCTGTGCCTTTTTTATTTCTCATGCCCCAACGTTTTCCAGCGCTTGTGTAACTTTTCATTTACGGCTTCCAAAAAGAAGGTGGTCCGAGTCCATCTCCTCCTCTATAACACTCACAGACACCATGCGAGGACAACCCGCCAAAAAGGGAAAAATCGCAACGCCTTTTACCACTGACAGCCTGCTTGAGCGGTGTTTTTGCTTCATTCCTCAAACGCTGACAGTTTTTGGCATTCGTGTGATTTCCCCTCACTGATTTCAGAAAGAAAATCATTCAAGTCGACGTCTTCTTCGATGACCTTCACAGAGACCATCCAAGGTCACACGGTCAAAACCGCCCAGCAGGCGCGCCTTTCGAGGGCCTTGAAAAAGGACTCTGATGAAAACAAAGAAAACATCCGATCTCTAGTGGAGCGCTTTAACACTGGCAGCAGCTTGTCGCCTGAGGACGCCAGCCTCAAGATGGCGGAAGCGGTCTTCGAGGAAACGGTTCGCCAGCTGGAGCTCTGCCCGCCGGGCGGCGCGCGCCTCTCCATCGGCTCCATCGACCTGCCAGTTGACCCCGGCGACCTCGACCGCCCCCTGCCCGCCGACGCGATGGAGATTGACCCCGACCTGCCGTCCCAGCGCCCCTCGCGCCCGCCGGAGCCTCAGACCGCGCCGACCGCGCCGCCGGGGGCGGGGCGACTGAGGCCCGCCGGCGGTCAGAAGCAGGCGGAGCTAGTGCAGAGGGACGGGCAGGGTGGCACGGAGCCCAGCGGCGTCTGGGGTCGGGTCAGCGCCATGCGCGACACGTTTGACGCGGGTGCGAGGAGCGGCGCGCGCGGCGGAAAAACCTGCGCTCCGACTATGGCCGTGCCGAACGCGTTCCACCAGTTCCCGTTTACGTACGTCGATCCGAAGCTGATCGCAGGGGTCGCGTCGGCCGCCGGTCGGCACTGGTCCCCCGAAGCCGATGTGGATGCGGCCGAGCCGCAGATGGCCTCCCCCGAGCCGCTGGTAGCCTCTCCCGAGCCGCAGATGGCCTCCCCCGAGCCGCTGGTAGCCTCGTCCGAGTCTTGCGAAGACGCCGCCGTCGCGTGGGGCGATGAGGACGAGCAGAGCTGCGCAGAGCCGTGCGACTGGGGCTATAGCCAATCAGGAACGGTGTTCAAGAGCGCCTTCCAATCAGCAGGTTTCGTGGAGAGTAGCCGCCAATCCGGTGGGCTGTCGAAAAGCGTTTGCCAATCGCGCGCTGCAACTAAGAGCGTCTTCCAATCGGGCAGCGCGTTCCGCCAGGACTTCGGCCAGTCGACAACAGATGGCAGCACTGCTCGCCCGGACTCGGCGGAAGAGACCATGGTTTGGCCCGAGCGGGGTGACGACGTCATGTTTCAGTGCGAGGTGGCGCTGGTGGAGACGACGGTGAACGAGGAGGCCTTGCAACGCTCGCTGCAGGCCGACAGCAAGGAGGCCTTCCAGCCACAGGGCTGGGAGGCCCGGCCTTCTTCAGGTGTGACGGACCCGAACGAACCACTGTAGCGGATGTAGTGTGAAGAGCACTCGTGCATGCTTCTCCAAGGTTAAGTGTAGCTAGTGGCGTGCTGATCAGAGAGCATACGCGCTGAGTGGTGCGTGCGTGTGACACGCATGTGTTTTGTGGATGTGGGTGCGTACGTGCATGTGCGTGCGGACAGAGAGAGAGAGAGAGGAGAGAGAGAGAGAGAGAGAGAGAGAGAGAGAGAGAGAGAGAGAGAGAGAGAGGAGAGAGACGAGAGAGAGAGAGGAGAGAGTAGAGAGAGAGAGAGAGGAGAGAGAGAGAGAGAGAGAAGAGAGAGCAGAGAGAGAGAAGAGGAGACGAGAGAGGAAGAGAGAGAGAGAGAGAGAGAGAGAGAGAGGAAGAGAGAGAGAGAAGAGAGGATACGGTAAGAGAGAGAGAGAGAGAGAGAAGAGAGAGAGAGAGAGAGAGAGAGAGAGAGAGAGAGAGAGAGAGAGAGAGAGAGAGAGAAGGAGGAGAGAGAGAGAAGAGAGAGAGAGAGAGAGAGAGAGAGAGAGAGAGAGAGAGAGAGAGAGAGAGAGAGAGAGAGAGAGAGAGAGAGAGAGAGAGAGAGAGAGAGAGAGAGAGAGAGAGAGAGAGAGAGAGAGAAAGGACGACCTCGGAAACGAGAGCGAAAGCGAGAACGAGACGCTTTCTCAGTACTCAGAATGGTACTCGAATTATGCCTGCGCACTTATTAGATGAATATCAAGAACGACCTGGCACGAAAAGTAATTACGTACACAAAAGCGGAACATTGCAATAAGTTTGTTGGATCTGTTCGCTTCGCTAGCTGCATTAATCAGTTCCTTCTTATGCGGAACTATTCTGCTTAAATTTTACGCGCCTTATCCGCAATAATTGTAGCCAAGCACATGCTAGATATACGTTCACAGCTGGCATGTGCAACAGATGGATTTAGACAAAGCACTCTCGAGAGCGCTATTCCCAATAACTCACTTACGAGCACCGCTGCTTCTCTGAGCGTTATTAAGTCGCTACTTCTAAAACAGCGAGAGGAGCTGATGAGCTTTTCTGAGTAGGACGTCGAAGCACGGTATGGGCTTTCGTGTCCCAATACTGTTACAAAGGATTTTATCGCTTTAGATGCAGCAGAAGCTAGAAATGATTGCGCCACATTAAGGTACCAGCAAGTCAGTGCGAACAATAAGTCAAAGGAAGTATGCCTCCTAAGCTGATTCGTATTCAAAGATGTAATGTCAGCAACAAGGTGTTACCAAGAACATTCAGGCATGACATGAAAACTTGTAATATTGAAGTTACTGAGTCAAGGAAATTTGTTATTAAAGTCACTCACGTGCTGAAACCACATTAGTCAGCTTCTTCTTATCTTGAAATATTACCGGACGTTAGAAATTAGTTGAGATTGGTTGAGGAAAGCAGATACAAATATATTACCGACGGGCCGCTGCCTCCAGCAGCTGCAGTAGCAATTACTTGCCTTGATTGCCAATTAAATGAGAAAGCTTGAAGTCAAAGTCATGTTCCAACCCTCCCACTCAGTTCAACGCGAGGAGGATTGCTTTGCAGCATATAGCCTTACACTGAATAAACGTGAGGCGTTGTAGCCTACTGAGGATGTAAGCTGTCAGACGTATGAAGAAAAGTCCGGTGTGACCACGAGGTTATATTGCTTGTCAGTTTGTCTTGCTGGCTAAGCACGGACAGTGCTATGCGGTAGGTCAGGCAAAATCCGTTCAGCAGTGGCGATTAATGGCTCGGAGTGATTTGCCGTTTGACGGTCTGGTTCCGACAGTTGGTCGATATATCAGCATCGCGTTGGACGGTCATGTCAAACAACTGAAACGGAGCACCGACCTGGTTGAATTACGGTGTTACCACGTCACGGACAGCTCAATTCGAAACGTGGACATTTGGAGCCAGTAGAGATACTCGGATGTTTTAAATGCTATTGGTGTTCTACACTGGGCTGATTCCATCCTACCTTTGCCCTGCAAATGTGACACGTGATGTTCCAAAGATGACAAAAAAGTTCAAACAAGATGAACAAATGTTCCAAAGATGTCATAACAATCCCCGCATCCTGATTCGTATATGTCCTCGACTTAAACAAACCGAGAGAGCAGGGCTGCAACAGCAAACTTCCGACTAATTGTTGATACCAGAGAGAGATAGTGTGATGCCCTGGGCAAACACTGCCGGCAGTCGAGACCTGACGAATTATGTTTTCGCTTGGAATATGAATCATGTATTGCCCGCAAGTGGATGCGGACTGAATCGTGTTGCTTGAAAGCGAATATTTCGCCCGACCTGCATCTGTAGCTGGAACTTACCTTGAACAGATGCTGAACATTGCCACGAGCATTTCAGATCTGGTTTGTAGATACATTATCTGCAGCGGTATGTGCGGTAGCTGACATAGATTCAGACCCGTTATATCAGAGCTATGCTAGCCGCTAGATGATATCTAGGGGTTGTTAATGCCTGTCCGCTATGTTGCGTTGTTATTTGATCTGCACGGATGACATTTCTGGGCAAAGCGCCGATTTTAGAGCACCTCAAACGCGCACTTAATGTTACAGCTGTTATGTCGTACACACCTAGCTTGTATAGCGATGTTGTAGACGTAACAGCGTAGCACAGTAGTTCCCGGAACGATAATTTAGTTTAGGTTGAACTTATTCCAATAAATCGTTTGATGAAAACATGCGTAGTTAGCAAAAGTTTCATGTTGTCTCTGACATGCAAGCTGTAAACATCTGGGGCCTTTAGGCAGCACTGATCATTGACTGGTCTTGGTAACGCGTGGTTGGTGCTTGCCGCCTGGTGTCAAATCTCGTCACCCTATTTCATCCATTCGTTGCCATCAATTTGCCTTTCCCCGTAGTTGCTCCGGGTCCTCCACGCGCTACCACCCTTCCGTTTCATTAGGCGAGACGAAGCGAGCGTTAACAGCCCGTGAATCCTGGCGACCCATCTCATGCCCTCGCCTTGGCAAAACAACTACCCCAACAACTGCCTTTCTGCCCGCCGTCCATCACACCACGCGCATGTGCGCCCCTGCTTCGTCCATCGATATTTCTCCGCACAACCAGTCCAAGAAGCTTCAAACAAGGCCTGCGTCCCGAAGGGCAACGGGCGTGTGCACTGCCCAGAGTGCTAAGGCCCCAGTTTCCAACAAGGTTTTCCGCTGCGCAGTGAGCCAAGGCCCCAGTTTCCAACAATGTCTTCCGCTGCGCAGTGAGTCAAGGTCCCAGTTTCCAACCATGTTTTCCGCTGCGCAGTGAGTCAAGGTCCCAGTTTCCAACAACGTTTTCCGCTGCGCAGTGAGCCAAGGCCCCAGTTTCCAACAATGTTTTCCGCTGCGCATTGCGCCAAGACCCCAGTTTCCAATGATGTTTCCACCGCGCAGTGAGCCAAGGCTTCAGTTTCCAATGATATTTCCACTGCGCAGTGAGCCAAAGCCCCAGTTTACAATGATATTTCCATTGCGCAGTGAGCCAAGGCTTCAGTTTCCAATGATGTTTCCACTGCGCAGTGAGCCAAGGCCCCAGTTTCCAATGATGTTTACCACTGCGCAGTGAGCCAAGGCTCCAGTTTCCACTGATTATTTCCGGCGACTGTTCGCGGTCGTCACGGCCGATAACACGCTCGTGCTCTTTTGTCGACAGCTCCTCCGTTGCCAGAGGTGACGATGCGCCGCCCACCAGCCAGCGATCAGCATGCGCCAGGCGTCACCGGTAGGCGAACTCAATCCAGGGAGACGTTTCACAGAATTGCTGTCGCGCGGACGTGATTGGCGGACGTGGGCGAGATTACCCGCTTTGGGCTATTCCCATTGGGCGGCGTCTGCACGTGCTGCGGCTTTGCGCTGAGATCACATTTCATAATTGTGAAGAGTTTTTGACACTGTTTTTCTTGCGGTTGATGTTATTTTGGTGGGCAGCACTAAGCTGACTGTTGGCACCTTGGAACTGGTTTGTGGCCAATAATTAGCGTTAGTTCAAATGACTCCCGGCGCTAATGCTGTCTTCAGAAATATCAATTACGCTGCACGTTTTCCTGAAACATCATCGAGGGTGTCCCCACTGTGTGTTGCGCGTCAATGTCATTCATCCTTATTCACCGCTTCTGATATTATGCTATCGAACTTGCGTTATAACCTGCCATAACTGTTAAACTGGCACATTGCTACCATGTTGGGCGCCATATGGATTGGGCACGCCTAAAAGGCTTTGAAATCTACTTTACTTACAGTGAACACAGCGTGTTTATTAAAACAATAGTAGCCATTGCTGACACACAAAACAACCACAACACATGCAGCTGTCTGTTGAGGGCAAATCTTGCCACTACCTGCTGCGTTTTTGTTGAGATCGAGGTCCATAACTAAAGTCAGATTTTCCAAAGCGTCATTCCTTTTACTTTCTTTCGTGGAAACTTCCCCAGCCTCGCCAGCCGACGGCAGATCAAGCCGAGCTGGCCTGATCTCAATCCTGCTACTTCCCCAGCCTCGCCAGCCCGCGGCAGATCAAGCCGGGCTGGCCTGATCTCAATCCTGCTCCTGCTCCCGTTCCTGATCTTAATCCTGGTCCCGATCGGTGCGGTGCCTAGCCTGAGCAGTGCCAGTGCCAGTGCCTAATCTCGAGCATTCCATTCAGAGCCCATTGTCGTCCGATGCTTTGAATGCAGCCGAGCAACTTTCAGCTCTGTCACAACTAACGAGCCCCGGAAGCCATTGATAGGGCGCCGGCTGGTTTGAAGTGGGAAACTTTGCTCGTTTGACAGCAATCGAGAAAATCAAATAGCGTTTACAGTGGAACTAACATTCTAGTAATTCGTCATTCGTGCTGAGATTTGTGGGCGCAAGATGACTACAGGAGTCGGTGCGCTCCAAGACCCCAATCATCATCATCATGCTCAGATTCAGGGCGTTTGACCTTCGGACCAGAGTCAGGCCAGCTAGCGCGACCAGGGAACGACAAAAATTGATCTTCAAAACCTCGGATTGAATGCTTAGCAGGGAAACTCAACATGAACTTCAGCATCTTTTTTATCAACTGGATGATGGCATATCCTCATCTGTCGTACCTAGAAAGGATGCGTGCGCACCATTGTGTTCAGACACCATCCAGTGTAATCTGGGTACTCTGGGCTGTCTTGCCTGTGCCCCAAATGTGTCCCCGATTTGTGGTGGAGCGCCCTAGCCTCTGATCTCACATGTTGCTGTTGCCGCCAGCCCGAACCCCACTTGTCACCTCTGAACCAGCCAGCATTCACTCATTGGTTTGTCCCTCGTATAGTCCATTCACCCCAGCTGGAATTTCATGCTTGATCTCCACCCTGGCTGCCATTTGTGTAGGTTACCCCCCTCCCGGTCGTTATCGCGCAACTTAAGCAGAGATTCTCACGCAACACCAGAAGACGTTCTCAAGTTATCCTCGGTGATGTTGCACCCCTGCCCCCAGCCTCCGCGTTGGAGAATCGACACCGAAACCGACAGTCCTGGGCCAACTACAACACGGCGCCCCGTGGCTGGGGAAATTCAGACAACTTCTACCGACCGGTCACCTTCACGCAGCCGCTCCTCTCCCAGTGACTTCATAATGACGTCAGAACGCCGGACGGCTCAGAGAGAAGTGGACCGCGGGCCGGTTTGAAGGTTTTTGCGTTGTGATGAAGCTGAGCGAGTTATGGACTGCTTGATATTTACCTGGTGGCGCGAGTCTGAATTTGACGTCGTCAGAATATGACGTCATACAGCTTCAACTGTGGTGGTGTTGTCGGCCACGTGAGCGTGTGTTGTCCTGCTTTGTGCAGCTCTTGACGCGCACGATTTAACTGGTTACCTAGTTAAGACACGCTGCATCAGGCGAAACTCCAGCATTTTGGAAGCTACATTCTTAGAGTGCGATACGAACACGCCGAAAACCTGTGACAGATGTGAAATAGTGACACTGCAGGGTGTGCCGACTCCTCGCACCAATCGAAGAGCTTGGGCGATCTGAGGGGGCGGCACCTTACACCGATTAACGCCATGCTACCGTTTGCGTTGGAGTGCTTGCCCGCCCTCCCCCACACGTGTCTGTTTTATTCTGAGATTCAGCGCACCTGCTTCTCGCCGGAACTCTCGCTCAGCCTGAGAATGAGCAGAGTTCTTCCCACACAGGCCCTGTAGAAATCGTGTCGGTAAAAGGTTCTTGAGGTTATGTGAGCCTGTTGATCGGTTGAATATAGAGCCTTACGCGTCCGTCTTCAGCCCGTGCCTTTATGCATCACCAACTACGTCATGGATTGTTTTGAAGTTACGTTGGAGATGAGGCGGTTGTTTTTTGTAAATAAAACACTAGACTCACACTTTTGTGTGTCACACAATTGCATTCGCCCCAGACCGTTTGTGAATGAACGGTGTTTGATGTAAGAACTCGTTGTTCTGCATGAGGCCCGCGGCTCGTGATCGCCCTCCGTTGTTCCTCTTTTTTTGGTCGTATTCGGGAACCCTTGACAAGACTCACTGTAATTTTGTCAGCGGATGTTGGTATCTACGGAGAGCTGCTGCTTGCTCTAGTCGTGCATCGAAAGAAACGTCTCCAACTAACAACCATTTATTGGAAAGACCAAAAGCCAGGTCATACATGATATAAACACGTGCGTCTACGTGGCCAAACACGCCAAGTGACCTGGACACATAGCCGAACACGTCAACATCAAGTGATGCGCGCAGTTACATCATTAGCACACAGACATCGAGCCAGTGGTACACAAACGTCTCGAGATGCTCACAGACGAAAGTCCGAAACGCGATTAAATGAGGGTTGAAAACCTCCGCTGATGAGAAACATCGCTAAATCATCCTGACGACAAAACGCCAGGAGAAATCGAAACGAAACTACAACATCCTCAACTGAGACCACGAAGCATCTTCGAAAGAGAATCAATAACAACACAAGCTGAGAATCACTCAGTGTAAGATGTAAGTACTCCTTACACTCATCACAGTTATACCCTGATCATGACTCAGAGCCAACATGTTACCCATTCTTTCACCTCATGCCATTATAGTTCTTCGTTACTGAACGTACGCATTGGCTGGGAGGGGATGTTAGAGCGGATAAAAAAGAGGCAAGAACAGGCAACTTCAGAACGCAGAAAAGCCACTCTTCCCAACAGCATGTGATCAAAAACACCGTGCAACGACAACCACTTGGCCAGTGCCTGATTCCCGCATCAGGGACATGAGTTGACGTCACATAAAACATCGTTGTGACGTCACATTTGACGATGTAGCTAGCCAATGACGTAAACGAATACAAAGTACAGCGTGACATAATGACGGTGACGCCACATATGGCGCACAGACCTGGCAGGCTCTTATCTTAATACGTCCACTGAGCGTCATAACGGTGCAATGACAATCTATCCACGTGTGAAATCCGACAGTCAGCTTCCAAAAATGGAATAAGATGACTCCCAGCAACGACCAGCGGCCCACCATCAAATCGTGTGACGTCACATCGTCAGGTTTTCAGGAGCAACGACACAATAAATAAAGGTTCTCTTCGTCGCATTTCCGTATCACTTTCAGCACACGACTTTTTTATTGTTGGCTTGACTGATGTGCTTCAAACGATCCTCCTAAAAGTGGATGCCGGTCGCACCCTGACGAGGCTCATCCAGGCTCCCCAGGGCCGGGTCTCGCTGGGTCATCACAGTCCCACTACAGCGTCACAACGCACTTGGTTACTGCCACTGTATCGTCGGCGTCAAGACAAGCCACCTGATCCCGCCGGTGTCAGCTTGACAGCGACAGTCCATCACACACCGCGAGTGTCGCCGCACCGTCAAGTGTCGCAGCGCCGGCGAGTGCCTCAGCGCCGTCAAGTGTCCCAGCGCCGGCGAGTGCCGCAGCGCCGTCGAATGTCGCAGCGCTGGTGAGTGTCGCAGCGCCGTCGAATGCAGCAGCGCTGGCGAATGTCGCAGCGCTGGCGAATGTCGCAGCTCCACCGATAGCGCCAATCAATCGGGCGCCAGATGTACCAATTAATGTCACCATTACTCAGCATCAGAGTTCGCATCGGAGATGCGCCTCCCCACTCCATGCAACGGCCTTCTCACAGTGACATCACTAGGACGCATGACAAACGCCGTCGCCGAAGAGACCTCCCATGGTGCCGTTTCTTCTGTCGAAGTGATACCACGCGGCCCGCGGTCCACGGTGATTTTGCTACGGTGCTCGCAGGGTGAGCTGGCTGAAAGCCACGTGACATGGAAGTCTGCAAGTGCGCTGAATGCGGTGGGACGACCGAGTCACGTGACCCGCCGGGAATGTAACCGCAGCCGTAATAACCGGTCCGACTAGAATGACGTCACGCTCCACAACAGTTCTTCGATGCTACCAGCGTTAACTTGACAGCCTTGTATTTGGTTGGTCTTCCAGCTTATGCTTCTCTTCCGCTGTCACATCTCACCCGGGCTGGGCACCACCATTTTTTTTCTTCTGTACCGTTACCCAAGAACAGACAACGATGGCCGCTACGCGGCGGGGGCATTGACAGAACCCAGCAGCGGCACGTGTGGAATGATGACACCTTGGAGAGTTTATGACGTCACGGTGACCGGGCCAAGGTTCGCGTGACAGCGGTGTCGAAACGAATGGGTGTAGCCACGGCTCTGAGATTGGGAAGAGTGGCGAACGAGGATGGGAGAAGGGGGGGGGGGGGGCAAACTGGTACCTGAGGGGGCAGCTTGAACTGCAATCGGCATTTTCAAGACGGCCCCCCCCCCAAAAAAAAAAATGCTGAAACGTGCCAGGCCACGCCCAGCGAAGAGTCCGTACGCCAGCTGACGTCATAATGACGTCAGACCCGGGTGACGGTGGTGCCGTGTCGCGCCAGCAGCGGATCCCGCGTGTTGGCGTCCTGTCCGTTGATGGTGCCCAGCTCGCGGGCTTTTTCCGCAGCTCCGTCGCCTGCAACAACCCAAAAGCTCGGTCAGCTGATTAACGCTTTCACATTATGCGTCGGCACCGCTCGTCGCTTATTTCAAAAGCTAGCGCAGAGGTTCTCAAATGGAAGGTTCAGATTGAGAGTTCCTGTTGCTGACAGTCAATTATTTCGACTTAGACAACGATTTTGGACGGATGAGATCTTGAACTAGAGATCTTAGTAGGCAACTGACGAGATCTTGAACGCGCACGACATCCGCATCAAGCCGGCTTCCCATACATGAGCCTGCGAAAGCGAACGCTAACATCAAAACAAGTTAATTTGTGATGTCGAGTCGCTTCCGAAACACATCCCAGCCCGATTGCCGTCGAACCTCGCACGTAGGGCCGAAAAAAGCGAGCCACTGCAGCAATGCGATGATTTCAAGCAGTGGGGAGCAAAAAGTGTGCAACACTGTTTCAGTGTAAACGGCAGCTCGAACATCACACAGACTTCGTGAAAATACACATCGCTGAGTTGGCATCAAAGATTGTAATGCATACAAAACAGAACGTTTCAAGTAGCGATCAGGTAGCGTTTGAAACGACGTTCAGGTACCGATCAGGTAGCGATTAAAGCGATGTTCAAGTAGCGATCAGGTAGCGATTGAAACAACGTTTAGGTAGTGAACAGGTAGCGATTAAAGTGACGTTCAAGTAGCGATCAGGTAGCGATTGAAACAACGTTCAAGTAGCGATTGTAACAACGTCCTGGTAGCAGTCAGACAACGACAAAAGCGCTGTTCAGGCACAGATCAGGTGGCAATTAAAACAATGTTCAGGTAGAGGTCAGGGCTGTGAAGTTTTCTAGAAGCCGGTTCCGGCTCCAGCTTCAGCCACGGATTCTGCTTGCTCAGGCGCCGCTCAGGCGTAGCAGCTTAGTGGTAGGCCTAACATGTGAGCGCACACGGATGCTGTTAATTTGTGCAACACAGGAAACCATGATGCATCACAACTGCTTGCTATCATCAGGCAACAGAGAGGTAACAGCTCCAGCACATACAAGTTCGCTCACCAGTGCCAACTGCTGATACTTGGCGTAACATCTGTTCGGAAAACACAAAATGAGACTCACACCGGCTTCCATACCCGGCGTGAACGTAAAATACATCCATCCTTGTGGTACCAAGAGCGTCAGAGATTACGTGAGACAAACTCAGTGTTAGTCAGTGCCCGTCCGTCTTGGACGAGCGACTGAGCATGGTTGTCCGCTTTGGACGAGCGACTGAGCATGGTTGTCCGCCTTGGACGAGCGACTGAGCATGGTTGTCCGCCTTGGACGAGCGACTGAGCATGGTTGTCCGCCTTGGACGAGCGACTGAGCATGGTTGTCCGCCTTGGACGAGCGACTGAGCATGGTTGTCCGCCTTGGACGAGCGACTGAGCATGGTTGTCCGCCTTGGACGAGCGACCGAGCATGGTTGTCCGCCTTGGACGAGCGACTGAGCATGGTTAGTTACCATATGTTGCCATGGCCAGTTACAGCCGCCATATGTGCGGACAGAGTGTGCGCAACGTAGTTTTCTATGTCGAGCCACCAACAGATGGATCATGTCCTACCAAGTGGCAGGCTGCCGTCCGTTCAGAACACTCGCATTGTGTGTGGACTGGCGCAGACTGAGCATGCTGTAATTCGTGATATGGATGGTAGGTGCTACTTAGTCAAAAAGCAGTGGGTGGTTTGCGTATGTTCTTTTAGAATGGGTCGAGGAAACCCGTTGAGCCAGCTCTTGAGCCGTAGCAGCAGTTTTAGTAGTAGCACACGCTCGTAATAACTGAATGTGAAAAAACGATTTGGTGTAACTGACGTATATGCCATATAATCCATTACTTGGCGGTTCCTAATAAATCATGTGGACATAATCCATCATCTAATAGTTCTATAAGTGGCGCTATAGTTGAAAAAGTCCGTGTGCCACCCACAAGTCTTTGTAGCCAGCGTAATGACTGCCTGGTGGACAGCCAATGGTTGTCTTGTTGGCTAACGGCTAACGGCTAGCCAGCTAGCTAACTAGCTAGCTTCTTGCCCTTCACTCAGCCTGAGGGACCCATGGCCCTGAAATGGTACTTTAAGTTCCACATTACTCTGCAAGTGACGAGCATTTGATGTCAGAGGACCGACTGCGAGGAGTTCTCGACAGATGCCTGCCAAGAGTTGCGAAACCAGCGTATTCTGCAATAGTCCAACCCGGTTTCACCCTGGGCAACATACGAAGTCTTGAGAAACCTGGGCACGAAAAACCAAATTTTGCGTTCAATGTATTTGATTTCTTTTGTAAAGAGTCATTCTCGCATAAACATTTCTGGTCTTGACATCCTTCATTGCTCACATATCACGTAAATGAACGCCTATTGCTGCACACCACATGCTTACATATAGCGCATGGTGCGTAATCCAATATCTAAGTTCAGTTTTTCGCGCATGGAAAAAGTCCTTGACAGCCCACTTCATTTTTTTTAAAATGCGCAGTCCAGTCTTTGTTCAGTTATCACTGCTTGCCACTCTTGCTTAACATTTAAAAGATGGTGACTGATGCCATCCTATCGTTGTCATAATGCATATTTCAATTGGTCATTTTATCTGTTAACTCTGGATTCCAAATGTATCCAAATGCAAAGGTACCGCTTCAGCCACGCCCTACTGTGACCACCACAGCCTGTTCTGCGCGCGTCCCGTGCGCATAATTAGTTTAGCATCACAAATACCCAAGATTGACTAACATGCTGACATGCCAGTCAGAATTACTCGGACATCGATGGTCTGTCAGTCAGAGATACCCGGACATCGATGGCGTGTCAGTCAGAGTAACCCAGACATCGATGGTCTGTCAGTCAGAGTTACCCAGACATCGATGGTCTGTCAATCAGAGTTATCCGGACATCGATGGTCTGTTAGAGTTAACCGGACATCGATGGCGTGTCAGCCAGAGTTACCCGGGCATCCATGGCGTGTCAGCCAGAGTTACCCGGACATCGATGACTATACTTCTCAAAGTAACCCGCGTCCCAACCGAGAATGCCCGGTGTTCGTTCAATTTCAGTGCGACGACTGGCAGGAACAGTGCTTCATAAGAGGTCAAAACCGCAAGACTAGGCGCTACATGACGTATGTGAGTGCAGAAGTGGACCGAAAATGGCACGAGATGCGTTTTAATTACTTTTAAACCTTTTAGAAATGCGCACGACGGCTTTCACGGGCAGATTAATTTCAGTTTTTCGTTGAAACATGCGTGGCTTGACATGGAAAGCCGTGTACTGCGCATGATATTCGACTAAGTGATGGTGATGATGATGATGAAGTTAAATAGCAGCCGTTGAAAGCGATTTACCAAGTCGTGGAGGTGTGCTGAGGCTCTAACACAACTCAGTACTCTCAGAAATCTCAGTCTCTTTACCCACTCCTGCAGGTGCTAGAAATCTGCCCGGTGCCAGAAGTTTATTATCAGACGAGCGAGGAGAAAAGGTGGAATCCAGTTTGTGGAACGGAAACAATTTTTGTCATCTCTATGGTATGCCGACGAAAAACAGCTGCTGCACTCAGCATTTCAAGATTTAGCTCGGCCTCTTGATAGTGTGGATTGCTGGTATCAGCGCCCACGGTACGCAGTGCCTGTTGCGCGAACCCTGAAACCACCGCCTGATCGTGAAGTTCCGGGATAGCGGCAAACTTTGCAGAGCAAGTTTACCACACCGTGATACTCTGCACGGTCCATTCTGCCACCTGACGTCAGCTGACCTTTAGCGCGGCCAATGGTAGCGACCGCAGGCTATCCCAGTCAGCGACAAGCAGCCAGCGCCTAAAGAGACTCGAACCGATCCCGCCATGGGTGAGTGAATTGGAAGGCAAGCGCTCTTACCAACTATCGGAACCAGCCAGGTTTCACACTCACTATGAAGCTTGCGCTCGATGTGCTACGCTATATACCCATGCATGCATGCGGTGCCATAGATCGCAAACCCACGGCAATCTAGACGAGCTTTCTACTACGGAACTACAAACAAAACGGACAAAAAGGAACCTTGGTGCCCACAACGCCACCTATAGCTGCGAGAAAGCGCCGCTAGATGTCTCTGCATGCTCACCCGCAGCGGCCGGAAAACTGGAGTAGTCCGTTGATGGGGGTGGGACGGAACTCTCGGGGCCTCGAGACCCTACAGAACATCAGACAGTCAGAGGGGTTGACCAAGGACCTTGACGTCTCATAGCACACCACAGAGTCAGGTAAGAGTCATGAGTCGGGTAGCAGCCCTGGAGTCTTCGGATACCACATGTCATGAACCCCTGAGACCCCATAGAATATCAGTCAGATGGGCAGCCCCTGAGACCTTGGAACGTAACGAAACGTCTGGCACTTAGACAGGGCCTGGAACCTCGGCACTTCGCCAAACAGCAGTCGACCAGATGGGTGACCTCCCGGGCCCGAGAGCAGAAATGTAGAAAACCTCATTACCGATGGTGGGGTAGCTACTGGGTGCTCAAGCAGCATTGGATGAAACCTTATAAGCAGCGGTGGTAGCCATTGGCACCTCAAGCAGCATTACAAAAAACCTCATAGGCGGAAGTGGTAGCCATTGGAACCATTGGAAGCAGCATAGTGAAAAACCTTAAAACAGCGGTGGTAGCCACTTGAACCTCACACAACATTTCAGAATACCTTGTAAGCAGTGGTGGTGACCACTGGGACCTCAAGGCCAAACAGAATGCCACGCAATCTAGTCGACTTCCTTGGAACTCTGAGACCTTAAGCAAAACCGTCCAGCCAGGGGGTTGATAGCTCGTGACCTCTCAAAACCCCATCGAAAAAAACACCGAAAAACACCAAAAACACCGAAATACGGACGAGCGGAGCACTTTTACAAGCTCATGCCGAGCGAGACATCAGACAGTCGGGGGAGACAGTCTCTAGGGTCCAGCTACCGCACATACCGTACATACCGCACACAGCACCTAGCAGTGCGGAGAGGAGTGGCTTCTTGAGTTTGTGAGCGTCACGGCAGGTGAGACGGAAGAAAAGGCCTGAGCACAACTCAAAACAGCACAGTGCAGAGAAAGGAAACATCTCGACCTTTAAGGTCTATCAGAACTCGCGTAGACAATAATATTTTGAGCCGCTAGGCCCATCGATCACAAAATGACGCGAATGGGGGCGAGGGCACCGCGTGACACTTTCTTTACACACTTAACCAACCACTTTTCCCCAAAACAAAACAGTAAAGCCAAACGGACAGACCACTCCCTGAGAGGAAACGAGATGTCGAGAACGAACAAGCCTTCAGCGGAGACCACCGAACGCCCGACCGGATGGCGGGCGGTGAGAACGCACTGAGCTCTAAAGAACGTTGAACGTAAAGCTCTTATCAAATCTCTGGACTCAAAGCCGCTGGCCGACTGCTGTTCGTCGGCGAGTGCTTGTTCTCGTCATTTGGCGTTTGCTGCAAGTTTTTGCGGATTCCTATCCTTACCTCTCGAGACATGCATTGCGCCCCTTTAACGTCCTCGTCACAATAAGGAATCAAACCATTCAGCGCATGATTTCGAGGGATTATGCAATGACCTTGAGCGGTTTGAGGGCAGAGAGCAGCTCATGATGAACTAGGAGTTATTTACTCCCTGTCCACTCTTACAGATTTTGCATTCATCTCTTACAGACAGAACGCTTCTTGCCATTGCTGATAAATTTAGGTAACATTTTAGATAACTTAACGCAGGTTAAACTACGTTGAGTTACTTAGGCCCGCACCCTAGGTGACTCAACGGCCCTCGACTTAACGGCCCTTAACTAACAGTCCTTAACTTAACGACCCTTTGCCCCAGGTAATTTAACTTTAGGTACCTTAACGTAACACTTAGGTAACGTTTCGCCTTCAACATTACCCTAACGAAACACCGGAATTATTCAAGGATGCCGGTATTGTGACGCAGCGCTCCTCTAGGTGTAGAATTGTACCCCATCGCGAAACAAAACACATTCCAGTTTGTGTTTTCTTTCCATTTTTTACACGTCAGTATTGCGGAACAGCGTGCCAAATCCTCGACTGCACATGTGACAGTCACTTTATAGTTCTACAAAACAAACAAGCATTGGTTTGGACTGAAGTGCTGCCCTATCAAATAATATTTCCTCACTTTTACCAGGCAAGCGTCACGCTGTCAAAAAAACAACAAAAAATAATAACGTCTCTAAAGCATCTCCAGGCACCCTCCACTCTCTAATGCAAACATCAGACTCTTGTCTCCAGTGCAATGCCTTACTGCCTACCCGCGTGGTCAGCCCATTAAAGCACGCTGGGCGTCGCACCGACGCACCAAGCAATTACGCTCCTCGCCTTGTGACTTAAGGCTCCACAGCTTGTTCACATATCTCAAGCACCCGCACAATTAGCCTGGACGCCAAGCGGGATCGTGATCTAGATGCGAGCCTGCATGCTTGTGCACAAACCACTTCATAGAGACTTACTTCCACAGACATTACTTAAACTCTTGGCCCTGGATCAGATCGATGGAGCGCAGCTCCCTCGCCATAGCAAGTGAGACGCGGCGCATACAGCGTCATTGTCATAAGTACATCACAACGTCCATTGTCGCACGCGCCGGCGGAGGATTGAGCTCGTTGTCGCACGTACCGACGGAGGATTGAGCGCATTGTCGCACGCACCGACGGAGGATTGACTGCATTGTCGCATGCATAGACGGAGGATTGAGCGCGTTGTCGCACGCGCCGACGGAGGATTGAGCGCATTGTCGCACGCGCTGACGGAGAATTGAGCGCGTTGTCGCACGCGCCGACGGAGGATTGAGCGCATTGTCGCACAGACGGACTGAGGATCGAGTCCAATGTCATAAACACCGATCGGGGATTTAGTTCATTGTCGCGATCACCGATGCAAGGTTGGGTGCATTATCGCACGCACAAATACAGGATCGAACCCATATTACACCACCGATTAATGATTGATTCTATTGTTCCACGCGCCGACGGAGGATTGGGCTAATTGTCGTAGGCACCGATGGCGAATTGATCCCATTGTCCCGCAATGGACGGGGGCTTAACTCTGTCCCAGGACGCACCGATGGAGTCTGGAGTGCGACCAAAAAGTAAGGGACCGGTAATGGAGACCTTTCGGGCGACCTCACCACCCCGAAGAGGCGATCGCGAACGGCGCCAGTGCTCTGACGTCACGACCTTGTCCTGCGCCAGTGCAACGCCGTAAGTGGCCTCCGTCAACGTGTCGATCAGTGATTTTCATTATCTGTATGTGGCGCGATTTTGCAGCACGCAGTTTTTTAATCTGTTGCGGTTGGGCTGTCAGATCGGATGGGTGACAAACGAGATCAAATTGCATGTTTGCTGTCTCATTATAGATATTCACACATTCACGGAAAACGCTGGCTTAAATGGAATTACGCCAACTTTTTCTTCTATGAAGAAATGGCAAGTCACTTGGGGTCACTTTCTGGTCCATAGAGTGACCCTCAGTGAGCATGAATGGCCTTCAACTTGAAATAATTACCATCCACGACGCTGACATTGATTTGGTTTAAACGGCCTCACGGTTTCGAAACAAACTGAACCGTGAAAATGAGTGCACAAAGAACACCAATTTTGTAATGCAAAACTATGGTAACATCTTCGGCAAGACGTCGCAGAAATGCGTTGGTAGAACACCGACTGTCATTAATCGGCAGCAATACAATGTGGTTTTCAACCTGTGTGGCCTCTCCAAAGTCATGCCACACTTCGTGGCCACCACATGCATTGTTCATGATGAGACAGGGCCGCATGCCACAAAGCTTACAAAAAACGCCTTTGTTGAAACGACTTTTCCATTGTTCTCAGGTTGGCTCTCAATTTATAATCCTCTGCAGGAATCTTTCAGCGCAGTTGCCCGGCTTGGAAAATACCGCAGATGTTCTCGTCGGAGAATGACCATGCGGGCACCACGATCACTAGCTTCCGCCACAGGCCACGTGACCCATGACGTCAGAAGTACCGCAGGCGCGGACCGACGCCGCATCGGAACGTTCCCAAGCGCTCGCCCATCCACGCGAAACGCGACCACCGCACCCCGTCAATAACGCAGCGACGCGTCCGCCGCCGCCGTCGCGTACCTAAGTCGAAACGAAGCGCGTGCTTACCGCGCACTGAGCTCCGTGCCGCGCGGGATCCGAACATTCCGCGGCTAAAATGTCTGCTGGAAGGGCATGTGGTCCGGGTGGCGCTCTTTCCCGGAACCAGGTGAAGGTGCGCCCCAACGTGCCACGTGAGCCGGCTCGTGACAAGGTCTATTTCGCGGTCCGATGCGCTGCGTGCTCAACGTTGATTCATTATAGAGCGCGGGCATCAGACGGGGAAAGTGCCAACACGTAAGCTATCACTCCAGCGCATCCAAACGAACAGGAACAGTTCGAGGCTGATAGTGCAGACAGCTTCGTACCTCCCCGGTTTCCTCAGTGAGCGGGATGCCGGGATATATATATATATATATATATATATATATATATATATATATATGTATTTCCATAGGTATATGATATAGATAGATAGATAGATAGATAGAGAGAGAGAGAGAGAGAGAGAGAGAGAGAGAGAGAGAGAGAGAGAGAGAGAGAGAGATATATATATATATATATATATATATATATATATATATATATATATATATATATATATATATATATATATATGTCGTTCTTCAGCTGCCAAGTGGCTTCTATGTGGATGCATGAATGAGAGAGGGATCACCAAAACCGACCCTTTTTCCTCTAGAATGGGTGAAAGCGATTTTTCCTTACGGCATCGCCTGGCCTAGACAATGTTTTTCATTTTACATGACCTTGCCTTTATGCACAACATTCGTGCGTATGTTTTGCTTTTGACATAAGAGCTTTTGAGTGCTGTTGACATCATTATGTCTGAGCAGGCAGCATCCTTGCAGAGCTGGAAGTCTTAATAAAGTAGCTTTGTTGCTAAATAGCTCCCGCCTAAGCGTGGTAATGAGATCGTTGTTTGCTTCGCCGGGGTTGAATTTGAGCTTCTATAATGACAGTTTCATCTTATTACGAGAATGATATGATGATGATACAAAAAGGAAGCCCTATCAATGTCCTTATGCTAATTTAATCTGGACGCACGATGTTCATCCCCATGCTC